ATGAATCACATAAATTGGTCATCTAAGGAAAGCCGTAAAAAGCTTAGATTAGATTTGAGTCTTCATTTGTAATTTTTGTGTTGTTTTGTTTTATTATTGTGTTGTTTTGTTTTATTATTGTGTTTTGTTATTTCTTATTTTTGATTAAGTGTGTTTCAGGTTTGTCAATGTTCGTTATTTCAGGTGATATCTTCTATACTCTATCTTTCTACCTTAAAACATTGAGGACAATGTCTCGTTTTGGTTGGGGGAGAGGGTAGTAGTTGATAAAAAAAAATTATTTTTCATTTCATAAAGCATGTGCATAATTGTAGTTACTAGGATGGTAGAGTAAAAGAGCTCTTTTGTTAAAGTGACTCTTAAGACGCATCTTAGTAACCATTCTTAACAAGGTCTATTATAATACTTCTTGAAATATTCAAATTTACAAACTCTCGCATCATTATCACTTAATTCTGCTCATATACTCATTTAACATGTATTCTTAAACCTTAATTTTCACACACACAAACTTTAACATATGATTGTGGGTTGCATATTGGATTATTACATTATTTATATTCTTTTGTTAAAGGTAACAACTAAGGGAAAGGGATTGTATATAATTAGAAAAAAAAAAGAAAAAAAAATTAAAAAAATGATAATAATAAAAATATAGATAAGTTTGGTTTCGTAGCCTCCACAACCTAAGCAATTAAGCCCGAAGCGGTGTTTTAACACCTAATACCCTAAAGTCAACTAACTTGGGAGCTATTGGCCCAATGCTTGTGACATGGGTTGAGGAGAAAAGCTTAACAGAATCAAACATTGCACTATCTACATATCAGTATCTGCGACCCGAGTTACTAAGCTCGTAGGGGTGTCTTAACACCTAATGCCCTAAGACCAACTGGTTTGGGAGTCATTAGCTGAAAGCTCATTACATGGGTTAAAGATGCATGGTGTTTTTAAATTATATGTATATATATTTAAAAAAAAAGAAAAGAAAAGACAAAAATAATAATCCCAACTCAAGGAAGTTAACCTTAAACATTAGAACAAAAATTTTGTTTTCTTCCAAGAAAAGCCCCATAATTATGTGTTGATACATTTAGTACAAAAGAAAGGTTTTTGAATATCTTGTTAAGAGGTATTGAGCAGGTATATAAATGTAATGAGAGTTTGTTTATCTGGATAGATTAATGGAAGTTAAATGATGAATACCTTGCTTTGTGGAATTTGCAAATTGTTTTTCTATTTTAATGCTTTGATTACTAGGGACTAGTAATAAGCTGGTTAGGGGGGTGATTAGTACTTAAAAGTGTATTTTTATCATAGTTTTATATCATCATTTTGCACTTGAAGTATCAATAACTCTTTAACTAAAACATGTTTTATAATAATATATCTAATAATATAAGATACCTTTAATTTGTGTTAAATGTTCATTTTAAATGCAGGCCTATCACATAAATGAAAGGATTGATTGATGACTTTAAGAACTTAAATTGCAAGGGCAAAGAGATGACCAAAATTAGAAAAGAGATGTCGGTGCAATCCAAACCGGAACACTATTCGGTAATTGGGTCATATCTAGAGCTATATATCTCAGATTTAGGTCCAATTTATATGGATGGAAAGGTAAGACATAGGCCTACAACTTTCATATGGAGCCCAAGATCTAAAAAGGCCATTATCAAGTCCAAATAGTAGCAACAACAAAGAAGCCCGAATCTGTCTTCCAGCCCGAGCACTGTTCGGTATTTTGGCCATATCTGGAGTTCTAGAAGTCCAAATGAGCTGAATGTTTTACACAAGAAAGCTGAGACAATTGCCTACAACTTTCATGTTTGCAACTGGCTCCAATTTTGACGTTATCAATGACGTTTTGGGCAGACAAGAGAAGATAAGGATTGTCACCAAGTCAAAAGTTGGTCACCCACTTATCAATTAGTCATCAAATCAATAGTTCCCAATTTTGGCCTATAAAAGGAGGCATTTGCCATGCATTTAGGCATCTTGGTGTTCAGATCAAGATCATGCTCTTCCTTTCTCTCTTTGTATTTTTTATGCTTTGTTTTCATTAATATTAAGTTTATGCCTTTCATTTCCTTTCCTTTACTTAGTTAACTTTTATGTTCTTATTTTGTTTATCTATTTTGCTTTCTTTCATTATGTCTAGCTAAGTTAATTATGTCAAGGTGAAAAGGTTACACTAATGGTGTAAGAATAAGTATAATGTAAACTTAATATGGACTTTAATGTTTGATACTAACATGTTTTATATTTGCTATCTTGTTCACTCTTTAATACTTTGCTTGTTAAATGACTAATCTTGATTTATGTTGTATAACACTTGGTACAACAAATGCTTGGCACTTTCATAGCCCATAATGTATGGTATAACCGACACCTGAGCTATGAAAGGAACTTGATTTGTTGTTAACATAAGTTATAATCATGAATGCTTGACGAGATTTACAAGTATTAGCATTAATTGAATAAGATGACTAATGTAATCATGTTAACAATATATAATCTGATTGGAACCTCCTTTGTGTGTGGTTTCCAATTCAATAATAAGAGTTTATACTATACTTGTTTGATATACCATTAGTGGAACCTCTAACCTTGACATTTGTTATTATCATTGTTTAATCGTTACATTAATATTCCATCTCAAAGTTCTCATCATCTTCTTCTTCTTCTCTTTCTTTATTATTATTATTATTACTACTACTACTACTACTACTACTACTACTACTACTACTACTACTACTACTACTACTACTACTACTACTACTACCGCGTGGGGGGGATCAAGATGACCTTCCAAATTCTACTTGCTAGTCGGCGTGATTTTAGATTACTAGTTAGGTTACAAAAAATTATAGCCATGCTGACTCTTACATTTTTCTAGGTTAAGGAAATTGAAATTAAATTAGAAAGGGCAGCTAAAACTAAATCTATAAAAATATTAATATAGACATAATTTTTATGCCTTAATTTCTATTATTTTATGGAATTTTATTTTATTTTTTCATCTTTATTTCAACTAGCAAAAACTTCTACCAGGAAATAACTTTTTCATCTTTATTTTTTTATCTTTATTTCAACTAGCAAAAACTTCTACCAGGAAATAATTTTTTTAGGTAGTTTAATTTTATTGACTTCTCATATATTTTAATACTTTATCTTTTACAATATTAAGTTAAAAATAACTTTATACTCACTTAAATCTAATCCAACTTCTACAAGATGATAAGTTATTTGAAGTTTTATATTATATTTGTATGTTATTTGAAGTTTTATATTATATTCAGAGTAAACATCCGTAATTATTTCATTAATTTATTTTAAAAATAAACACAAATAATAATATAAAAGATAAAAGTATATTTTCATGAACGTTGGATGTATTAATATTTCTATAATAATAATAATAATAATAAAATATAAACCTTACAGACCTCATGTTTTTAAATCTTATATTTTTTTGTTTTTAAATCTTAAATTTTTTTAATATTTTTTATGAAAATAAAAGGTTGGACAAATTATCTAATTAATAATAATTATAGTATGACTAGTTTATATATATAACTACCAAAATTTTAAAATTCTACTTAAGGTAATTGCATTTGAATTGAATAAGGAGGTGATCATTCCATGTTCTACTTCGTTTTTCCTATATTAAGATTAACCAAAAAAAACAATTCCCCTCGGTAAACTCCCCAGTAAGCAATGAATTAATGAACAGAAAAAATAATAATAAAAAGTTCCCGCTCTAGATATGGGATGGGCGGGCTAAACGAAAAGATTGGATTCTTCAATTTTGGAAATAGCAGGAAGAAAGAGTGGAATTCCAAGAAAGCCCTGGAATATGAAACGATATTTCTTCAACAAGGGGAGTGTGTTGCCACCACGAACAGAAACCCTATTGCCCTCCTCTTCTATATAATGAAAAGGTTTGCCCTGGAGAAACAAAATCAATTCTAATCTAATCTAATGGAGGGTGGGGCAGAAAAGAAGAGAAGAAGGGAAAGTAAGAAGAAAAAGAAGGATTTCGAGTGTGATGGCAAAGCAGGAGGAGGTCATGGACGGCCGGTAGAAGTCAGTGCTAGTATCATGGGGTTGTTTTCTGAATTCGCGTTTACAGGTTGTTCAGGGGGGACAGGGCATGCTTCCTCCTACGCCTCCTCCGCTCGACCTTCCATCAAGAAAGTCGAAAGGGAAGAAGAAGCTCAGAAGAAGAAGAGGAAGAGATCACCAAGGCTCACTGCTGCTCAAATGCGTGATGTGGCATACCTCAGGAGACGGCCCAACAACCGTTGGATTCCGCCCAAGTCTCCTCACGAGCTTCTTCAAGAGAATCATTACCATGACCCTTGGAGAGTTCTCGTCATTTGCATGCTATTAAACTGCACATCGGGTGGTCAGGTAAGATCCTTGTTTTTATTAATGGAAATCAGCATAGAAAAAGCATGATCCCAAAGAATTTCTAATTGCAGGTCAGACCAATTTTAAATGACTTCTTCACCCTATGTCCTGATGCAAAGACCACCACTAATGTTGACCAGAAAGAGATTGCCCATCTAACACACAGTTTGGGTTTCAAAAACATGAGGGCTGAGAAGATAAAACGCCTTTCTGAGATTTACTTGGAAGAGGACTGGACCCATGTCACCTTTCTGCCTGGTGTTGGCAAGTAGGGAAATTTCTGTTCAGTTCGCTGTCTGCTATAGCTGTTTGCATTGATGGTTTTTCCAAACTGATCTGACTCGTTTGAATTTCTTGTCTGATTGTTCAGGTATGCCGCTGATGCGTATGCAATATTCTGTACAGGGAGGTGGGACAGGGTGGTGCCAGAGGATCACATGTTGACTAGGTACTGGGAATTCCTTCGCAAGGGTAGATGGATCATAGAATAGATGGATTGTCTCTGTTTTGTATTTTGAAGAGACAGATCACCGGGGGGTTAGTTTATACTATGTTTATTGTGTCCCTAATACTAGGTCTTTTGTTGCCAACTGTGTGTGGCAAGTTAAACCCCCGATCTGTGTCTAGCTTTGAATAGCCATTCAGGTATAACTAACTAATGGAGTAGTATCCCAGCTATGTTTGGACAGAGGGATTGGCTATGAAGTACTGTTGAATTTGAAGTCTTTTAAGATCCCAGCTATGTTTGGACAGAGGGATTGGCTATGAAGTACTGTTGAATTTGAAGTCTTTTAAGATCCCAGCTATGTTTGGGTAATTACTCATAAGAGTATTTTAAAGGGAATGCCAGCTTGAAAGGAATGTTGCTCTCTTCTTCTTTGGAATTGCAAATGTAGCTCGATGGATTACTCTTTGTGCTGTTTCAGAAACTTCAACAAGTCCCTATCAGTTTCCTTTTGAGCCTCAGTAATTTGCCTGAAGTCTTTCCCATGCATATGAAGTGCACATGCTGTTTTGTAAGTTTAAAGCTTCCAGTCGCCTGTTGCAAATAAGAGCAACAAAACAGAGGAGACGAAAACGATCCAAATTTAGTTGCTATAAGGTTCTAAACCGAGTTCTTGGCTATCATATTTTTGCTCTAATGATTTCAAAACATAGTAAATTGGCACTTGAAACACAACATCGGTCGATGTTTCAAGGAGATCTCCATGAATTTTCATGACTGGTGGAAACACGAAGGAAAAAAACCATATAGTTAGCAGCCACAACATGCACCCTTCTGTGTAGCATTGCAGCATGCCATGCTCTGAATTCTTTAGGATCAAAAACTTAACAATTGTGCCTCTCTTCACAAAGTTTCATTAACTTTGTGATGCTATTATTATCTTAAAAAACAACCTTAAAAGGCTGAGAGGTTTTGTTGCATTCAAATGATCGTTTTCGCCTCCTTTGCAAGAGCAGGAACAATCATGTAGACCACCTTAAAAGATTTTTCCAAGTGCAATATCCTGTGAAAGATAATAAAGATTTTCAAGAATTTTGTAGAATGTGTCGATTAATTATTTGAAATTTTTTTAGAGTATTTTCAAGTAAGAATAATTTTTTTAGTTATCATAAGTATTGCAATATTATTGAAATATTTTATTTATAAAGCAAGTTGATATTATAGGTAAATTCTTTTATGTTAAGTCTGAAAATAATATATATTTTTAATTGGTTAATGAAACGGTTTATTGTTTTATGTAACAATTTTAGTGGTCCATCAAATCAATCTAAAAGTATTTATATTTCTAATCCATTATGATTTTTCTGAAATTTTGATAATCATCTTTGTATTTAAAATACATTTCAAGTGTCGACATCAAAATTATATAACATATGAAAACTCTGGTTATTAAACCTGGCTTGGCGAGTTGGCCCAAGATCTGGTGGCTGGACCAGTTTGGATTTAATAAAAGACTGGTCGGGGCAACAACTTGGCAAAACTTGATCAACTCGGCAGGTCAACCCATGACTCGACAAAAATAAGTCCGGGTTTATTAAATTTTTCTCTCTCAATTTCTCTTTCCTTCACTTATTTTTTCTTAAATTAATGTTTTATATGTTGAACTTTGTAAGCTTACAGGGTTATTTTCACTTTTCTTATTTTTTTTCCTTTGATTTTTTTTTTAATGTTTTTCCTTTACTTTTCTCTCTTGCCTTTTCTTTTCTTTCTTCTTCATTTCTGCTTCTGCTTAGTTGGCAATATATAAAAAGAAGGAAAAACTGATTTGTTTTATTTTTTAAGGGAAAATAATCATTTTACACTTAATGAGTCCTTTTGCTTCTATTTGATGGTCTTTATTTTTTTTTTGTTAGCATTACCAAGTTCCGTTCATCTTTAAATTTTAACTAGATTTTATTCAATATGTTTTAAGGTTCCTTATAAAATTTCAATTTAATCTGATGGTCAGACTGAAAATTAAGTTCAATAACATAAAACTGATCAAATTGTGATTTTAATCAAATTTCTGAATTTCTTCAAAAATTATAATATTTTAACTCAAGCTAAAGCATTATATTATAAGGCTCCATGTAAATTTTTATAATTTTCTAATAACCCGATCGAGAATTACGAACTTGTTTTTTATGATTTTATGCTAGAGGGTTTACAGATATCCTTAGCAAGCACTTGTTCAATGTAAATTATCATAAAATATGCTAAGAGCTTCCTTTTCATTTTAATCCATTAATATATAGCATGATCATCTATTACACCTAAGCCTTCAACAATAAATCTATTACACCTAAGCCTTCATCAACATTTTAATATATTGATGGATTAAAATCTTGACCTGGGTTATAGCAAACCCAAGCTTTCAACATAGCTCCGCTCTTGACCTCGATCGATATTTCAAGGAGATATAATCATTCATTAAGGATTGGGGTGCATGATCCAAACCATTGTACTCCGTGGGTTGCATATAGGGAGACATTCATATAGTAATAAACAAACAAACAAATAAATAAAAGTTTCTTGTAGTGATATTTGATGCCAGCTTTCCCCTGCTAAAATAGCGGTTTGCCCATCATCTGTAACGTGACCTCCAGAGGTTTACTAATCTCCTCGTAAGAATAATTACAAGAAACACAAGCACACATTGGTCATCTTTTAAGGTAATACAATTTAACTTACAATCCCTTTCAATCATAGTACCACTCTCAACCTCATTGAAAATGGGAGTAAAGACCTTATCCTCATTCATATTTTTTAGTCCTCATAATCAAACCAATGCCAAATAAAAGTGTGTTAATAAAATCTTACTAATTAAAAATTATGAATTGGTAGTAGAGCTAGCGTATTGCGTGTTAAAAGTAACACACCATATTCCATATTTTAAGTGATTCTAGAAAAAATTTGTCTAGAAACAAGTGTTGGAAAACAAAATTACGTGGCTGTCAATGATGTCTGGATGTGTACTCTCCTCTATATGTAAGATGGCAAGCTTTTTCAATGACTCGTGGCATTCGTTTGGTATTGTGTTCGTGTTCTAAATAGAATTATATAAAAATTTTAAAAAATTCTATTTAAAATTATTTTTTTATGTTTTTAAATTGTTTTGATGTGATGATATCAAAAATAATTTTTTAAAAATAAAAAAATATTTTAATATATTTTCAAGTTTCAACCTACATAATATAATTGTTACTATACTTCCAAACTCTCGTATAGATCTTTAAACTATCCTTGTAATAGGTTGAAACTTAGCCTTCAATCAACATAAAATAAGAAGAAACATTAAGGCATAATGTGACTCGGTACATGCTACGAATCGAAAACAAGTGTTTCAGGAGGGGAAAAAGGGTTACATATTAATTATCTTTACTCAATAAGCATTCTAATTATGTATTTCACATTATGCATAAAATGCACATGTGTTTTTCATCTCTTGTGTATTCCTCTTTACACATATTAAATTATGCTTATGATTACAAGCTTAGTTATAGGCTTAAGTCCTAAATAAATAAGAACTTAAACTACTTAAAAAAAAATCTTAATTTGAATAGTAAACATATTCCATTGACTTAATCAGTTGACTGATTTATTTACTAGTCGACCAATTCCTCAATTTTTTTGAAAAATTAAAATTGGGTTTACTTTTAAAATCCTCCCCTAAAATTAATTTCTTTATAACTCCTAACATATCTCTCATCTTGACAATAACATAATGTTTTAGTGGTTTAGTGAAAATGTCTATGGCTTAATCTTGGGTCTTTATATACTTGACTTCAACGTCCTTGTTTGTAATGTAGTCTCGTAAGCAATGAAGTTTGTAATGTAGTCTTGTATTAATGTGCTTACTTCTGTTATGAAACATTGGATTCTTTGCGAAGGCAATGGTTGATAAGTTGCCAAGCGCAATATCCTGTGAAAGATAATAAAGAATTTCAAGAATTTTGTAGAATGTGTGTCTCGATTAATTATTTGAAATAGGAGTGAGTAAAAAAAAAAAAACAAGTATAAATAGCTTCTAACCCTAAACCTAAACCTAAATACATTCTCAGTTTTTCACCCCTTAACTGCCACCTTTCTATCTCTTATCTCTCAAATGACAAATCTTCACTTCTTTCTTCCTGGCCACTTTAAAATGAAAATCAAGGCCTTTCATGAAGGAAGTCAACCATTGATCTCAAGGACATGCCCTGAACTTTAGCTTGAGCCCTTTCAGTAGTCTCTCCTTTGTGAATGGAATGACTTTGTAGTTTTGAAAGGTGGAGCAGATCTTGGTTTTCTAGATTGGAGGGTTTTAAGATCTTTCAATGGGGATTCAATAACTTGCTTAAGGGTTTCATCTCTCAAATCCCTTGCATTGTGTTTGTTCAGTTTCAAAAATGAAAGTGCTAAAAAATATGGTCAATAATTAATCAATTTGAACTGGTTTTTAGTTTGTTTCGGTTCAAAAACTAAAAAAAATTGGTTTGGTTATTTATTTTGGTCCAAAACTGAACCAAACAAAAAAATGCTTAGCCCTAATTTGAAATTTTTTTAGAGTATTTTCCAGCAAGAATAATTTTTTTAGTTACCCTAAGTATTGCAATATCATTGAAATATTTTATTTATAGCACAATTTGATGTTATAGGTAGCATTCCTAAACTTTGGATATAAATTCTTTTATATTAAGTCTGAAAATAATATATGTTTTTAATTGGTTGAAGAAACGGTTGACCGTTTTATATAACAATTTTAGTGGTTGATCAAATCAATCAAAAGTATTTATATTTCTAACTTATTAAGATTCTTCTGAAATTTTGACAGTCTTCTTTGTATTTGAAATATTCCAAGTATCGACATCAAAATTATATAACATAAAAATCCTGGTTATTAAACTTGGCTTGGTGGTTGGACTGGTTTGAGTTTAATAAAAGACCGGTCGGGGTAACAACCCGGCAAAACCTAGTAGACCCGGAAGATCAACCTATGACTCGGGCAAACCCATATGAGACCTGATTTTTTTTCTTCAAATGTGGAATTTGAAACCTATTAGTATATACACTCTATGTTCCCAAGAAAAAAATTATGTTTTTTAAATATGGGATAACAAACTTTTTGGTTTAAATACTTCAACTTAAAGGGATAACATAATATCTTTTCAATGTGAGATTTGAAACCATTTCGTATATATACTCTATATTCCTATAAAAAAAGTTATGTTTTTTCAATGTGGGATTTGAAACCCATTAGTATATATACTCTATATTTCCAAGAAAAAAGTTATATTTTTGAAACCATTAATATATATACTCTATGTTCTCAAGAAAAATATTATGTTTTTTTTAATATGAGATAAAAACTTTTTGGTTTAAATACTTCAACTTAAAAGGATAACATAGTATCTATTCAATGTGAGATTTGAAACCTTTTTGTATATATACTCTATATTCCCAAGAAAAAAGTTATGTTTTTTTAATGTGGGATAAAAAACTTTTTGGTTTAAATACTTCAACTTAAAAGGATAACATAGTATCTATTCAATGTGAGAT